TTTATTCGATTGTTTTGATTGTTTTGATTTTCACGTTACACCTGATCTCGAAAAATAATTGGCTAGTGCCATAAAAAGTCACATGACCGGAAAATTTTTTGTGGGTGAGCTACTAACGTCAGATGTTGTACAGTAGTGGTTCTTCGATGTTTACTCAAGTTATTACAATGCATTAAACTATCCAACCACTTATTCAAAAAAGCAAAGGATTCAATATCAGGATAAGTATTTTTCCATTAAGATTATTGCGCAAGTGATTTCACCTTTACTTGTATCATATATTGTGAAATAGCTTTTTGATTATTTCTTTGTTCTCTTATCCATTCAGCCAAGGTAGCTTTTAAAGCCAAATACTTAGGAGATGCACCTTTATTTAATTTTTTTCTACCTGGTTGTGCTTTTAAAAGTTGATCTTTTTTGGATATCCAATCCCAAAGTTGTTTAGTCTTGATATTAAATTTAGCAGCCATTTTAGTTTTACTATGACCATTTTTATAGTAAAAAATAGCTACAAGTTTTTCATGTGTGTTCCATTAATGACACAATTTATTTGTCGCTCGTGCGTGATCTACAGACTTATTTGTGCATATAGGCATTGCTGAAAAAAAAATTGTATAATAAAAACAAATTACTTGTACTTTATTCAAAAAATTGTACTTATACAATTTAGGGGCTCTTAATTATCAATAAATTTTACAAATTTGGTAGTTCTTTATATGAATTATTAAAAATTCTATTTTATGAAACATATTGTGTTCTTTTCACGTGACCAATTTAATAGTTTTTAATAAAAAAATTTATGATTCTGATTAGTCAATTAATTCTCTTTCCAAAGTACCTCCTTGTATAGTACCTCCTTCTCACACAGTACTTCCAGGTACTATTCAAGTCAGCTGAGAGGTTTTTTGAATAAGACTGGAGGTCTTATAGGCAGCACTATACGGTATATAAAAAAGCAATTTTTGATAATTTTCTATGCAAAATTTCCTTTTTTAGTAACATATAAGTTGTATCAAAGTTCTTCAAGATCCTGTTTCGCCCACCCACCCACCTAGCTAGTACTACATTTTATTATTTTTTTCATTCAATGTTTTGGCCTATAGAACTGCTTTGCTTGCCTACTCACCTATCAGACAATTTTTTAATTATTTATAGTTAAATGGTCAAATTGTAAGAAAAAAGAATCTATAGAGGCTTCTAATATCGAAACAAAAGCCTCAGATGTTCTATAGAATAGGTGGGCAAATATAAAAAATAAACTCCGCTACTAATTAGTAATCATTAATAAATATTTAGCGGAGTTGCTAAGTTTGTGAAGTCTGCCCACCTATTCTATAAAACATCCAAAGCCTCTGTCTTCTCAATATTTCCACTCAATACAGTATGCCAATATTTGTCTTGTACTGGTTTGTTAAGTTCATTTACGGCAAGTTTCAAGCTATTTTTTTTTTGTTGTTTAGTTTTTGCAATTTTTTCAATCACCAATTCATAACATTTCATAAACTTCTTACCTGCTCTTCTCAAACATTCTCTGAAATGTTTTCTATATATTGATAGTTAGTAATTTTGTGGCTCCATAAGTATATTTATAAAAAATACCTATAAGGTAACAAGTACTGATTGTGAAATAGGCAGTGGCAATCAAGTAAAGTTAAACCCAAAGTACCTTTTTTTTTTTCAAGTCTACTTATTATGAAGCAGGCTTTCTTCGCTAATAATTAGTACTACAAATCGTCAAAAATTTTGCAATTGATTAGTTGTCAACTTTTCAATTATTCAATTTTTATTTGATTTTTATTCGATTTTTGTTTGATTTTTATTTGATTTTAATATAAGTTGCCAAAAAATTTTCAATCAATTAGTTGTCAACTTTCCAATTAGTTGCGATTTTCAATTTGTAGTACTACTAATAATTGCTAAAAAGGGTAAGAAAATTTGTAAATTTTCTAAAAGATATTACTCACCACACTATATACAGATATTTTCTTAATACAAAAGTTAAAAGTAATAGCTTCATAGCCAGATTGCCTTTTATTATCTAGAGCAACAATATAGTGCATTGTACCTAAAATAAAGTATAAATTTTAAAATTGTAAACAAAATTTTTCAAAATTCAGGATTAAATTTGAATGATTTTGTAAAAACCATCCAAATTAAATTACTGGATTTTGAGAAATTTTGTCTACTTTTTAAAAATTTTTAATCATACTATACTTATTAAACTATAAAATAAAGACATTACTCTTTTTAACTACTGTGGTAAGACTCCAATGCATTTGTAGAATAATTTGTAAAAGCAGGAGAGAATGTTGGCATGTCTACAAACCCCACTGCTGAGTATTTTTTTTGTAATTCCTTTCAATATACTTTCAAATAGCAGGAATGATGCTACACTTAATAGCATTCTGGACAAGATTTTGCATCTAATTTTTGTTCTTTTTTGCATGGCTGCAACTATAATATCTCGAGACTCTTTTTTATATATTTTTGTTAACCAAGCCCTCATTACGTAGATGACGCAAAAAATTACTTCATATTCTTGTTCCTTGGCACTTATATTAGGAAATACTTTTTTTATAGCTTTTGTCTTAATACTACTTTGATTAGAAAGTATATACCAGGGAGATCAGCAACAAAACCTACTATGAATTAAACATAATACTTCCCCAACAGTGTTGCTATCTTCAGTACTAACAAAAAAATGCGCAACAGCTATAAGTATCACGAATATAGAGTATAAAAAGGCACCAATCGTATCTATTAGTTTTATGGGTAGAATTAATAAGCGTTAACTACCTATAATGCTAAAGTTTCTTTAATTGCACAAAATACACAAAAACAATGCCTTTGGTGTTTCATTCAAAAGCACAGTATTCCTCAACTTGATACCCCTTTTCTCTTAAAAATGACACAGAATTTGAAGCATCTATTTTTATATTGAGATCATTAACAAAATACATTTTAGCAGGCCTATAAACCTTGTGCTTAATATTTGCCACTTCCTTCCTGCTTAATTCACATACACCAGATTCAACATCTAGCTTAATTGTTGCATACTCTTTAACAGCAGTAGTTATTGCTGGAAGCAAATAGTTTTTGACTGCTTTCTGTTTAACAAATATTCTTATTGCTTTAAAGTGTTTTATTCTATTACTTTCCTCCAAGGAATGCAAATGATTTGGTAAGTTTTTATAGCACTCAACCTTCACCTTGTTCATTGAAACTAGCTAAAAAATCTTTATTTTTATCTTACACAGTCCTGATGGTCGAGATTTCATCATTCTGTATTTTTTATTCAGAATGTTCTTCTTTGCTAATTACTTAAATCCCAATACTTTGTAAATCAACAGGTGAAAACTTTCAAGATATTACCATTTACACCTTTATATAAATTCTATTAAGTCCAGATATTGGAAAAGATATTAGAAACCAAGGGCCACCAGGTATCATTAAAGTTATCTATTGAAATCTTCAAGGATATATTAATATCAAAAAGAAGGTCCTGAAACAAGATCTGTTAAATCTATTATTAATGCAGCAGTAGACATAGTACAATTCAAGTTTATATTTACAAAATTTGCTCACTAATTGTATTTAAAAAAAAAAAAAAAAAAAGATGTACAATAATACTTTACAGAAACTAGCTATATTTTTTCAATGGAGTTAAGATCATCTTAACGATATTAATAAATTTTTTAATAATTATAAGATTATTTTACAATAAATTTTTAGTGTAAAAATTTTAAAA